CGCAATTTTTTGCAATAATGATTCACTGGTGCGATTCATCAGTAATAGGTTTGGAACCTGAATTAAAAATACTTCCCCTCACTTTTTAAATTTTTTTGGATGTTGCCCATGGTCTCAATGGATACCTAATAGACACTTCATATACAGGAAGCAGTTGCTTATTTCATCGTTTCAATTTCATTTGTCCCAAGTCACTAATGTTAACCTTTCCAGCAAGATGAAGAAAGAAGAGAATCTATGGATGTCAACCTTTTTATTATGAGGAACACAACGTTTCGGAGTATATGCTTACTCCTTCTTCATTCCCCTGATGGAGATGTAAGCATATGCTCCAATGCATTGTGTTTCACAATATAGAAGTTGACACCCATAAATTCTCTTCCTTATGTGTACAGTTCTAAATGCCTTTCAAAGACAAGATGTAGAAAGCCATTATTGCTGATAAAAAGACAATACTGGTATTTTCCAAAGGTATTGTCTTACGTTTTCATTAGTATTTCATATTGTTGTATACCGGTATCATTCCGGGGTAGAATCGGTCTTCAGCAACCCATGCTTGCTGTAAAAGGTGACTATGCTTGTTGTAAGAGGAGACTAACAGGATCGGGTGGTCAGGCTGAGTGCGGATTTAAACAACAAACCAACCAACCAACCTATTGTAGGTGTAGAGCTTTGTTTGCACTGAAAACAGACCATGATGCTACTGTACCAGGCTACTGTTTGCTTACGGATTGTTCGTGTATAAATTGAAGGGGTTGAGGGGTGGGGAGTTGGGGGTTTTGGTCCCAGTAGATTTGAGAGAATTGCAAAGCTTGAGATAAGCTGTTTTTTTGTGTAAAATACGCCTTTAATAAACTGAAATATGCAGACAAATCAAATCTTAGCATATTAATGTCAAAAACTATAATACGCTATTGAAAGAGAATTAATGTATATATTATAACTATTAGATAAAACAATTGCATATATTACAACTAGATAAAATGATTGTGTATCAGCCAATCGACAAATTCCCGTACCGACAGTTACATTCGGAAAAGCTTTTGCGACAAACATACTGATAAATGCCAATTGAAATGCACAATCAAGACTAGTCAATGTACATGTTGTATTTTAATTAGTCGCTGATTGGTAATTAAAACAATATCTCCTTTCTTACAATGCTAGGTTTTACAAACAAAAAATGGTGGAGAGGGAACCGCAAGCAGACGCAGACGGGTATACTACTATTCACATAGTTTTAAATGATTTTCAGGGAATTTTACGAAACAGGTTTTAAGTTAAAATAGCCAAATGTCAAGAAACAGGGGGTAAAAAAAATTGAATACCCTCTAAAACTTGTGGATACCCAATCAAAATCAAACCCTGGGTAAAATACCCATATAACCAAAAGCTTATCTGTAGCTCTGAATTGAAAGGAGGATCGTCCTTGCCAGGAGGGCCTTGGACCAAGGTTCTCTTGAACACTAAAGACAGGTAATTTATTGATTCAATAACACAAACTGCTTGTGTTGTTCTCTTGATGATAGCCTAACGTAACACTAGCTATAGCCAAGTTGGAGTTAATTCTGCATATCCACACATTATTTCACTAGGCAGCAAATTAGGAATGTATTTATGACATATTATAAGTTACAAGCACTCAGTGTGGTGGGCACAAATATCATGTCAGTATTGATTGTGTCCGAGTCGTGTGATGACGTGGAGTCCACGTGAACTGTTGAGGTGGCTTAGCCTGCTGTCAGCACTTTCCCAACACCTTAGCAAATTCACTTGGTAGATAATTCAGCCTATTGAATAGGTCCATCCATCTGTCACTGTAAGCCATTTGATAAATATCTATAGCATGTGTGTATAGACTGGTGTGTGTTGAGTTGGAGTATCTATTGATTATGGTGGTGTAGTGTTAGACACTGTTGACAGACAATCGCTTACAAGGGAAAATCTGATTTTAAATACTTTAAGATAACAGTTAGTATCAGCTATTGATGTTTTGATAATGGGTCTTCACTGCGACTTGGAGGCTATTTTGGGTAAGAATGCTTTAACAAACAGGTATGTCCAAAGGGTAATGAAGAATGGACTTTAACTTTGTGTTTATTGGAGTGTGAACCTTCTCAGGTGGAGGATGAAATTGAAGGAGTACCAACCCTTGTTTGATCGCACAGATATAAAATTGACAAACTGTTCAATGACATTTCTAAAGCTGGAGTTACGCCTGACCACTGGACAGTTCTGTACAACAGACCTACTAAAACTATTTCTGCAGAGATGTATCATGGACTGTTATGGGATGAACAAAACCGTCCAAATGGCGTGCTGGATTTCTTGGGGGAATTTGTCAGCAAAGAGCCGGAGTCACAGGAGACTAATCACAATTTTATTTACAAGAACAATTAACAATTTACAATATCTTAGAGAATAGCTGAGGGTGCCACAGAGAGTCGGTACAACCCTCTGGGCTGTGGGAGAGATGTCTGCTTGATATGAAAGTCAAACCCCTTCTCTGCTGAAATTTTGCTACAGTATGTATTTAACAAAAATTTGAACAATGAAAAGGAATATGATTGGTTGATACACGATTGGTTGTGCCCTATGCTAAATGAATGGCTAGACAGAGGGGAATACTTAATCCTGTTAATCCTGTTGGACTGGCACTAATCTTGTTGACATATTTACTGGGTGCTTGGAAAGAGATTATGGTGTCACTATAGACGAGCTTGTGTTGGGGCTAATCCTTAATGCACTATAGACGAGCTTGTATGGGGGCTAATCCTTAATGAGTCTAAATTGAAGTAACTGCTGAATGTTATTCTAATATAGGTGATGACAGATTTACTTAAATAAAATAGTTCAAGGCAATTTTAATCTATAAGACTATGTAGACATATCTTTTGTCTGGGAGATGGGATCTTGATACCTTAGGCTAGCATTTATCTAAAAGCTTCAAATCTATTTAACTATGTAGACATAACTCTTGTCTTATTGAATAGTATGTCTAGGAGTTGCGCTCCCATTACCTTAGGCTAGCATCTATCTAAAAAGCTATAACTGAAACTACTGATATTTTATATATGCATTTTACCTGATGATAAGTAATACTTGCTAAATTATAATTATATGAAATGATGTATAAATATTACACCATGATAAGTCATAAAAGCACTTGATGTGGATCTAATTATTATAAACTTAGTGTAAATGTTATATCATGATAGATGTATCTCAGCCATCCCTGTACATGTATGCAGATTTATGTGCTGTCAAGTTGTTTATGATCATTACGGCTTGGTAATGCTGTCCTACGGGCAGAGGTGTGTCCTGATTCAGCTGGTTATATGCATTTATTAACCTACTCACGGCAACTGTCTCTTGCTAAGGTTTCATGGTCTGTTTGTACTTGTACATTCATGTCAGGAGTAGGAATTGTTGCTTGATGAACTTTTGGATACTTTTACACATCTTGCTCATCACCAAATAAGTTTAAATCAATAATGGATGTATGTTTGAGCCCTCTCCTCTAGGCTTGTAGACTTTCATATTTTAGGGTGTTTAACTTATTTTCAAGGAGTATTCAAGAGAACATTTTTCTGCTTTCGGTTTACTAATGTAAGAATGCAATAGTCCGATTGAAAAATTGATTCTATTGAAATTGAACTTTTGCTACGTTGACAAAAGAAGTGTTGTTGGACCTGTGAACCAAGTAGTGGAAGTGTGGTCTATTATTGTGGAGCTGAGGTAGTTTATCACAGTATTTGGCTGATTTAATTCAGGATTATGTATGGAAATGTGATCTTTAAGGTCATTATTTTATTGTTTCATTCATGTATGATCAATCGCATGATCAGATACTGTGCCAGATATGGGGGCACGGGAGGCCCAGTCGTTTAAGGCGCCGCGATTCGCTGTGCAGAGTTGTGTCCCTTGGGCATGCCAGAAACCTATGATTGTGGGTTCGAATCTCGGTTCGCCCCGATTATGTTTCTAGGTTTGACAGCACCATACCCATGCTCGTGGGTTTCACCGAAGTGGTAAATGTCTGAGACCTGCATCACTTCGGGCTTTCCTCCCAGATTAAGCTGACACGCCATGATATAACTGTAATACTGTTAAAAGCAGCAGTAAACCCAACTTACTCACTCACTCTAATGAGGAGTCCGAGGTCCTTGAGTAGGGTTACTGTAGTAATGGCAAGGATTTTCATCCTTAATTTTGAAAACTGTTTCAGCAGGCAATGCACATGCCGTGATATAACTTGAATACTGTTAAAAGCGGTGTTAAACCCAACTCACTCACACTCACTGTGCCAGATGTTTGTTATTTCAACTCTTAACAAGTTTCCTCTCTAAGTAATCAAATACATGAAGTGCAAATCAAGACCAGGATATTTGGCAGTATTTTTGTCTCATCACATTTTGCCAAGTCAGTTGAAATAACCAGTCCTGACATCATCTGAGATGTTGACAAAGGTGTAATTGACTATTCATAGAAATCACTGGCAGAAAATGCAGCTCCAGTTTGTGGCATTGATCTGCATGTCTTTAATCATGTTGTTGTGGTCCTGTGTGCTGCTCAGTGTGCTAATATGGGGACAAAGACCCCTTCTCCAAGCAGCCTCCATCCTGCCATGTGATAAGCATCGGTTGAAGTGCACATTTCCTCACAAAACCTGATTGATTAATGCAGAAAGTTTTGACATCCTGAATGGATGTCAATTCGCAAGTTTGCAAACGTTTTTGTACCCCAGATTCCTATTTTTGAAATAGTACACCAGTTATGATTGACACATATACATGCATAAAATGTTGACACGCCGTATGGTGATCTTGTCTTGAACCTTGTGACGATTCTGAGTTGGAACTGCCTCAGTTTGAAGGTCGTGGCTGCCATTTGGATTGGGTGGTCAGGCTTGGTGACTGCGTTTATCGTACAGCTAAGGAATCTGAGGTTTGTGCGTTGTGATGGCTTCTGTTTTACCTGACCACTGTGTTGTCTTGCAGGCTGTACAGAAGGCCACCAATGTGGTGTTTCAAGCTGGACATGTCTCCAGAGACAAGAGAGGTAAAGCAGTGGGCAGCAAGGGGGGATTCCGAGGCTGCACAATATGGCTGACAGGTCTGTCTGGGGCCGGAAAAACAACAATCTCCTTTGCTCTGGAGGAGTACCTGGTTGGTCAGGGCATCCCTTCCTACAGTTTGGATGGAGACAACATCAGAACAGGTCTCAACAAGAATCTAGGTTTCTCCCCTGAAGATCGGGAAGAGAACATCCGACGTATCTCCGAGGTGTCCAAACTGTTTGCCGATGGCGGTATTGTCTGCATCACCAGTTTCATCTCACCATTCAGAAAGGTGAAATACTTCATAAATTCATTTTATTTATTTTTTCAGAGAAATATCAACTTCTTTGATTGTGAGAAGTTGATTTAGTTTGAGGGAGTATACATCTCCAATATAAAAAAAACATGTTCTTTACAAAGCCGTATTCAGTTGGTCGCTATGACTTCTGTTTAAATCAGATGTGTCTTCCAAGAGTCGTAAAAGACAATTTGTTAAAAAAATAGTCATTTTACTCAAACTGTTAATATCAGCTGTTGTCATGCAGATTATAAGTTATGTTGAAATCACAACAAATACAACTAAAAGATTATAAACTGATGTTTATTTGCATTGTGTTGCCTTCCAGGATCGAGACACAGCGAGGAAGCTGCATGAAAGTGCTGGCCTTAAGTTTGTGGAGTGCTACGTGAACACACCCATCAATATATGTGAGAGCAGAGATGTCAAGGGCCTGTATAAGAAGGCCAGGGCTGGACAGATTAAAGGTGGGTTGGTTAAGTGTGAAGGGCACATCCTGTAGTGGAGCTCTAGTTCAGAGAGTGAGGTGGGCTCTTTCACACCCTATAGTGGAGCTCTAGTTCAGAGAGTGAGGTGGGCTCTTTCACATTCTGTAGTGGAGCTCTAGTTCAGAGAGTGAGGTGGTCTCTTTCACACCCTATAGTGGAGCTCTAGTTCAGAGAGTGAGGTGGTCTCTTTCACATCCTATAGTGGAGCTCTAGTTCAGAGAATGAGGTGGGCTCTTTCACATCCTATAGTGGAGCTCTAGTTCAGTGAGTGGGATGGGCTCTTTCACACCCTATAGTGGAGCTCTAGTTCAGAGAGTGATCAGGGTTCTTTCACATCCTATAGTGGAGCTCTAGTTCAGTGAGTGGGATGGGCTCTTTCACATCCTATAGTGGAGCTCTAGTTCAGTGAGTGGGATGAGCTCTTTCACATCCTATAGTGGAGCTCTAGTTCAGAGAGTGAGGTGGGTTCTTTCACACCCTGTAGTGGAGCTCTAGTTCAGTGAGCGAGGTGGGGTCTTTCACACCCTGTAGTGGAGCTCTAGTTTAGAGAGTGAGGTGGGTTCTTTCACATCCTATAGTGGAGCTCTAGTTCAGTGAGTGGGATGGGCTCTTTCACACCCTATAGGAGAGCTCTAGTTCAGAGAGTGAGGTGGGTTCTTTCACATCCTATAGTGGAGCTCTAGTTCAGAGAGTGAGGTGGGCTTTTTCACATCCTATAGTGGAGCTCTAGTTCAGTGAATGGGATCGGCTCTGATGTTATGGATATAATTTTCAGCACAGGTATTGTACTCTTTTAAGTAATAATAAACTTGCAACATAATTTTCTTTTGAGTGATGATGGCGGTATGTAAGTAATTGAGTCTGGACCAGACAAACCATTGATTGAGAGTATGGTATTATTAGCCATGTCATGACCACCTAATTAATTTAGTCTTATATATATGACAAGCATTGCTTGGGTGGGACATCGTAACTCCAGAATCCACACATAGGTAGTACCCTTCCCTGTCCCACGTACTACACTCTTTTGTATGTTATAACTACATAGGTGATATGTTCCAGGATTCACTGGTGTAGACCAGGCCTACGAGGCACCAGACGCCCCGGAGGTGACCCTCAAGGCCGGCCAGCTCACAGTCGATGAGTGTGTTCAGGAGGTCATTCAGTGTCTGCTCGATAAGGTGGGCACTTTACACTTTATTATTCAAATGATAATGCTGCATGCTGTTGCACTGTAAGATAATGCTTATGGGTCAAGTATACTTGTTGAGATGATGGGGTGTGTGTTATAAACAAATAGGTCAGATGATGTTTTTTTGTGTATGTTATCAGGAAATCGTGCCAACTCATGCCCTGAACAGTGTTAAGGAATTGTTTGTGCCAGAGAACCGAGTGTCTGCAGCTAGAGCCGAGGCCGAATCTCTTCCATCTGTCAACATCACAAAGGTGTGTACTGCTATCTGAAACTATTTTCATTTGAAATAGTTTCAACTCTCAGTAAGTGGCAATTCAACAAATTCACCAAAAGAGTCTCTGTGTCCAGCATGATTCGGGCATATTTTAAAAAATGTCCTATTATCACATAGACTTTCAGTTATAGCATGACCGACTGATATTGTTATGTATTCCCTTCCTGCAGCTTGACCTTCAGTGGACTCAGGTGCTTTCAGAGGGCTGGGCTTCGCCACTCAGGGGCTTCATGAGGGAAAGGGAGTTTCTGCAGTGTCAGCACTTTGGGTGTCTACTGGATGGTGAGTAGAGGTGGTCAGACAACAGATAGGGGAAATAAGGAATAGCTACACAGTTTGCTTTATTCATTCAGTGTGTTTGAAGAGATGCATTTGGAATCCAATGGCCTCATGCAGGGATTGGGAAGGAACTCTCTTCATGGGCCTCTGGCTTCCTCCTTACAAATTTTACGTTCCATTTTTTGTAAGTACAGTAAACTACGGTTATAACGAACTCAAAGGGACCACAAATTTTAGTTTGTAATAACCGTAGTTCGTTATGAGCATATATACAGCATATATACAAAAATGGCCGGGACTAAAAAATAAGTTTGTTATATTCGTCAGTTCGTTATAAGTGTGTTTGGTATATATGTAGTTTACTGTATTCATTTTACTATATGGGCCATTGATAATTGCAAAAGGCCATAAATTCAACATAACATAAAAAAATATTTGCAGCTGAATATAACATTTCTGCCTTTATAATCTTAGTCTTGAACTATATACACATAATTTTATCAATAATTATAGCTGTGTCAACTTACAAATGAAAATACAGTCGTCCCTTACAATAATGCCTTCATGATACCACATTTTCACTTTCATCACAAGGTAATCATTTGCTATCACTTATTTCATTATTTTCACCACAAACACACTTCAGGGAAGAATAAGTATTTATATAAGTTATATCTAAAAGCCCACAATGTTTCAGGAAACAATTATCTCCCATTCTTCTTGACATCCATGTTCCTGCTGCAGGTGGCCTGACGAACCAGTCCATCCCCATTGTGCTTCCTGTACAGACAGTGGACAAGGAACGCCTGGAAGGCAACGTAGCCTTCACCTTGAAGTACGAGGGCAAGGCCATTGCCATCCTGAGAGACCCTGAGTTCTACAAGCACCACAAGGAGGAGAGGTGTAGCAGGCAGTTTGGCACCAGCAACCTGGGACATCCCTACATCAAGGTACGTACACTTCTCATAGAAGTCCCCTCAGGGGATTCCCCAGGTAGTATAGATACTTGTCATACAAAGAGGATTGGTTGATCACAGTTGTATAAACACGTGTCATACAAAGAGGATTGGTTGATCACAGTTGTATAAACATGTGTCATACAAAGAGGATTGGTTGGTCACAGCAGTATAGATACTTATCATACAGAGAGGATTGGTTGGTCACAGCAGTATAGATACTTGTCATACAAAGAGGATTGGTTGGTCACAGCAGTATAGATACTTGTCATACAGAGAGGATTGGTTGGTCACAGCAGTATAGATACTTGTCATACAGAGAGGATTGGTTGGTCACAGCAGTATAGATACTTGTCATACAAAGAGGATTGGTTGGTCACAGCAGTATAGATACTTGTCATACAAAGCATATTGGTTGGTCACAGAACTATAGATACTTGTCATACAAAGAGGATTGGTTGGTCACAGAACTATAAATACTTGTCATGCAAAGCATATTGGTTGGTCACAGAACTATAGATACTTTTCATACAAAGAGGATTGGTTGGTCACAGAACTGTAGATATTTTTCATACAAAGAGGATTGGTTGGTCACAGAACTATAGATCCTTGTCATACAAAGAGGATTGGTTGGTCACAATGTGTAGCCTAGGTGATAGTGTCAATGTATCCAGATGGTGTGGATCGTTGCTCGTGCTCGAAAACCACTGGTTTTCCTGGCTGAGATTTCATTATTGACAGACCCTGATGTGACTGGATATTGCTGTCTGTGGTATTAAATATGGATAGTAGATGGCCAGTGTGTATGAGTCTTATCACATCATGATAAGTACCATCACCATTTAGTTCATGTAATTTTTTCACCAGCCCAATACAATGTTTACTTGAAAGACCAAGCAAAAGAAATGTTTTGGATCCCAAATTTTTTTTTATGAAATAATGTCAATTATGGAGCCAATTATATACAGTAAGCTGAAGGGAGAAATGTTGTTTTATATTTGTGGAAATTCTTTAGCATTTGTATAAATAATAGTCTTTTAGCTTTGAGTGCACTTTTGTTCAAGATTTCCACGGTATAACTTGTCAGGTGCTGTGAGAACCGTTGTCCAAGTGTTGTTGTATGGTCAGTTGGGATGTGTATTCTGCAGATGGTGTTTGAGAGCGGTGACTGGCTGGTCGGAGGAGACCTCGAGGTACTGGAGAGGATCTACTGGAACGACGGTCTGGATGAGTTCAGGCTCACACCCAAAGAACTACGTCTGCGCTTCAGACAGATCGAGGTATGTTCTCCATGTTGTTAGTCAGGTGCTTGAACATTCAAATAATGTTGGCACACAATGAATCAGTGTGAACGTACCATTTAGGTCTAATGTCATATTTTCTTTAAACATATTTCATTCATTTGGTCGTCCCAAAATGGCTGAAATAATACTGATGCGATGTTAAAGTTTAACTCACTCATTTATTGGGAAACTGATCAAGTACATATTTATCTCAACTTTGGGATTCAGATAGTATTTTTTTCATTAGATACCATGGTCTGCTTATTTGGCATTTTAGATGTATGTAATTATCAGTAAAGACAAGATATTTTGTGGATGACAACTTCTTTCTTCTATTACAATCCGACATTCGGTATACCAAGACGTCGCAACGTAATAGAATAAACAAGTTGTCATCCACAAAATGTCTTGTCTTTACAGATACAATGGCATTGCATGACGTTGGACAGACTTGTAGGACGAGTAGTAATAAGTGTTCACTTTTTAGGCTGATGCTGTGTTCGCCTTCCAACTGCGTAACCCAGTTCACAATGGCCACGCCCTGCTGATGAACGACACCAAGAGACGGATGCTGGAGAAAGGCTACCAGAAGCCAGTCCTGCTGCTGCATCCACTAGGTCAGTTTGGGATGATAAGGATCAATCTAGAATTACAGGTCGACCTCCACTAAACCTACTCAGTTACACATACTCTCAAGCTTGGCTTCAAAACATGGAGCCAAGTCCCCACTGAGTGAGGGAGTGAGTTTTGTTTTATGCCACTTTTAGCAATATCACGGTGGGGGACTCCAGAAATGGGCTTCACACATCGTACCCATGAGGGGAATTGGACCCAGGTCTTGACAAGCGAACGTTTTAACCACTAGGCCACCCCCCACTGAGATTACGCATAAGTTAATGTTCAAACGATTTACATAATAATTCATAATTTCAACATCATAGTTTCAAGTTGTCTCAATCCTTGGAGGGGTGGTTTGGTAGCCTAGTGGTTAAAACGTTCGCTCCTCACGCCGATGACCCGGGTTCGATTTCTGACATGGGTACAATGTGTGAAGCCCATTTCTGGTGTCCCCCGTCGTGATATTGCTGGAATATTGCTAAAAGCGGCGTAAAACCATGCTCACTCACTCAATCCTTGGACTATGATTGTGGGTTGATTTGAATTGGTTTGAAGTTTATTATTTAGTCACTGTCAGAAATGGAAGAAGGATAGAAGTCTTCAGTGTAAGGCTGTTGCATTGTGCATGTGAACCAGAATGGGTCTGCAGATCCTCATTGTCGTCCCTCCTGTGAGAGCAGGATGTGCTGATTGTTTCACAACACCGATTATCGATTATAGTCCCAAGTAGCTGATGTTTGCCATAAATGGCGACCATATGATCAGGTGGTCAGACTTGACTTGGTTGATCCACAGTCGATTATTTACAGGCCACCTTCGTGTGGCTGGAACATCACTCAGGGCGACATTCAACAACAAACAAAATAATCTTAATATATAAAGTACTGATATACCAAATGTATCTTACTTATCCTGCATTACTCCTTAATGCATCTACTGCTTTCTTTACGACAAAGAAATCAGCGCTTCACGATGGTCCTTGGTGAAGATAAAAAGGTAGTTTACGTCTTCACTCAACTTTTACTGGGACCCATCACTGCTGTCATGTGACCGTCTATGACGACACCGAACATTGATTATCGCCATGTATTTCATGACCAGGTGGTTGGACCAAGGACGATGATGTACCTCTGCCTGTCCGTATGCGTCAGCACGCTGCTATTCTCCAGGAAGGCATCCTAGACCCTGAAACAACAGTGCTGGCTATCTTCCCATCCCCAATGATGTATGCTGGACCGACAGAGGTACGAATCACAGGCTGAGTGGTCAAACACTTAACATACAGTACTTTAAAACAATGCTAGCATGGAGTTTTGTTCACTTAAATCTTAATTACCAAACTTAACATTATTTTTACCAATGACGTTAGAGAAGTTACTGTTTCAGGATAATACTGGGGTTAGGACATTGTACAATAATACAAGCATCTGGACGTTTGTTGTCCTATCCAGCTTAACCTCTATTTAATAGGAATATCTGCAAGTTTACCTAGAAGAGCTGCCATCTGACTCACTCATTGACTAGAATTGACTACTTGATTAGATTGACTAGGTACTAGGTAGTTGACAAGAGTCGACTAATTGACAAGTATAGGCTTGTTTACATTTAGAGGTGAGGTGAAATTTGGGTTTAATGTCGCGTCCAAGATTATTGCACTTATATAGCGATGTGTGTGTGTGTGTGTGTGTGTCCATGTGCGTGTGTGTGCATGTGTCCGTCTCTGTGTGTGTGTGTATTCATGTGTGTGTCCGTGTGTGTCTGTGTCTGCTTGTACTAGTCCGGACTGATTTATAGTACTAGCCCACTGAGATACCATGCCGCAGTTTCACATGAATTCTCCACTCAGACACAGTATACTGAATCCAAGCCGACCCATCCTTGTTTTAGCCCCTTAATGTTGAGTGTCAGACAGGGTAACAAGAGGTACCATCTTTTAATGTCTTAAAACCCGGAACTTCATCTCTTCGGGCGGAAACTCTGACACTAAACCACTGAGGCGGTTGTTTACAATTAGAACTGTACAATTGTACAACAGTATGCCATGTTAAGTAGTTGATATGAAATTGAGGGAGGGATGATTCAGCTAGCATCCAGGTTGGCCCACAGGATGTTATGTTGGTTTTAATGAGAGAATTATGCATTTCTAGTCATTGTCATTGACACATAGAGCTTTAAAAAACAATGATCCAACCTTGCCAAATGTTCGCCTGATATTGTTACTATGCAGGGTATTCCATTCATGTGTGTGGCAGCTCCGTGTCCTGTAGGTGGAACTAATGCATCTACTGTTGTGGTTGCAGGTTCAATGGCACGCTAAGGCCAGGATGTCCACGGGTGCCAACTTCTACATCGTAGGTCGTGACCCAGCCGGCATGCCACACCCTGATGGCACCCGTGACATGTTCGACCCAACACATGGAGCTAAGGTAGGTCTTTGCTTAGGAAAGGAAATACTTACTACTTCTCCTGAGGAAAGTTGGCTTAGAATAAGTCCCAAGTAACTGATGCTTGCCATCAATGGCGAGCAAATGATCAGGTGGTCAGGCTTGATGACTTGGTTGATGGAATGACGTAATATGTACCCTGACAGTAGTCTGGCCCACAGTCGATTATTTACATGCCGCCATCATGTGACTGGAATATTGCTCAGGGCGACATTAAACAACAAACAAAATAAACTTGATATATATAGTACTGATCTACCAAATATTTTTTATTTATCCTGCATTACTCCTTTATGCATCTTCTACGATAAAAAAAGACAGCACTTCATGATGGTCCTAGGTGAAGAAAAAAAGGATTTTTCCGTCTTCACTCTACTTTTACCAGGACCCATCACCGCTGTCATGTGACCGTCCGTGATGACATCACAACTGATCACATTTCTGCTTGTCACCCATGCTAACAAAATACATCACCTGTCACAGACAAAATGTTATGTGGTAGCAGGATGCTAAGCATTCAAATTAAGCCAAAAATTGGACCACCAAATGAAGCACAACTTCCCAGTTTGACAATGAGCAGGAATGTGATCAGTTGTGATGTCATCACGGACGGTCACATGACAGCAGTGGTGGGTCCTAGTAAAAGGAGCATGAAGATGGAAACAACATATTTTTCATCACCCCGGCCCATTGCGAAGCGCTGTTTTCTTTGCCATAAGGTAAGTAGTAGATGCATTAATGAGTAATGCAGGACAAGTATACAAATGTAAAAAATATGTAGATTTTACTAATATATATTTAATATATTATGCCCCATCTCATAATTCATATTTGATATATTTCCCCTAAAATAATTGAGTTCAAATCAGTTGCTAGAAATATTACCCCCCTATATATTTTCCTGCATCATGAGCTGCAACAACGAACACCCGAGGTACACTCTGGCACATGTTCAATGACATATTTAAGCCTAGACTCTAAATAGTGAAGGGGGCACGGGTGGCCCAGCCGAGGCGCTAAATAGTGAAGGGGGCACGGGTGGCCCAGCCGAGGTGCTTAAATTGTGAAGGGGGCACGGGTGGCCCAGCCGAGGCGCTAAATAGTGAAGGGGGCACGGGTGGCCCAGCCGAGGCGCCGTGATTCGCTGTGCAGAGTTGCGTCCATTGGGCACGCCAGAAACCTATGATTGTGGGTTCGAATTCCCATTCACCCCGATTATGTTTCTAGGTGTGTCACCACCATACCCGTGCTTGTGGGTTTCACCGACGTCTGAGACCTGCATCACTTGGGGCTTTCCTCCCACAATAAGCTGACACGCCGTGATATAACTGGAATACTGTTAAAGCGGTGTTAAACCCAACTCAGTCACTCACTCACTAAAAAGTAAAATCAAGGTATGGACTAAATGTTGACTATAGCAGAAGTTTTCATTGACATGCATGATGTATGAATTAGTTCCCTGGGCAACTGGAAATACTGTCTTAATTTGAAAGTTCCTAGAACTGCCAATATTCCCGTGCCAATTTCTCTTTGAAAGGTGCCATGTAAAAGTGGAAACAATGTCATGATTTGGGTAGTCAGTTACTGCAATAGTGGATTGAAATATATCAACTCTGAAAGCAGAAGAGAAAAATGTTTGAGTAACAGATGTTCAGACTGAGATAAGCCCTTCTATAACATTGACCCCTCATTTCTGGAGCACTGATCTCTGAGACTGCTGTCCAGTTTGCGTGGAAACATCCCATCTGACCATCTCGTCCCACCAGGTGTTGATTCCGGTGACACACTTCCCTATCTAAAGATTAGTCTATTCTAGGCCGATATATTTCCAGGAGATAAAGCTCACTTTACTCATCCCATCTTTCAGGTTCTCACAATGGCCCCAGGCCTGACCCAGCTGGAGATCGTCCCATTCAGGGTCGCTGCCTATAACACCGTGCAGAAGGCCATGGCTTACTTCGACCCCGAGAAGAAGGAGGAGTTTGATTTCATCTCCGGCACTCGTATGCGTAAACTAGCACGTGAGGGGCAGACTCCACCCCCTGGCTTCATGGCGCCGAGTGCGTGGAAGATCATGGTGGACTACTACCAGTCTTTAAACCAGTAATAGTTTAAGAAAAAAAAATTGCACTGCTGTAAAACATGTTCATTTCATTAGCCAGGAGAGTATGCATAATCATGTTTCATTCGCACAGCCTCTTGCTCTCTTGTCATAAACAATCAGTACAGATTCTACATAAGGTGGAGAAAGGTGGTCTTCTGCTATTGACTAAGTCCTTCACCGACTACCATCATATACATGTTCTATAGAGTAGCGAAATGTATGTCTGCTCCTTGGGTTACTTATAGCTGTGAGGGACGGTGGGATAGCCTGGTGGTTAAATCTGTGGCTAGTCGATACAACTCATTGATTCCCACTTCGATGAACACCATTGTTGGAATATTGCTAAAATGGCCTAAAACTCTAATCACTGACTAAATCCAGATATGTGATGAGTATAAATAATTTTATTTTATATAATCTTCAATTTTTCCTTTCAATAGTGTCTTGCTAATGGAAGAGCCAATCACCAGAAATCAAAGCCACAATTCAGTTCCATCAGTGATTGGATGTCATTACGATCATAATAGCCATATATATACGAATCTTTCCCTGTTAATGGACCCACCTGTTTTCACTTTATGATTCTGTCGTTGGGAACACAAGTATATCATGAAATTTGTCACAGGTATTTGCATGAGGGAACAAATATTTTAACATTCATTATCAGTATTTTTTCACTGGTAAATTTTGTTCTGTATGTTTTGTACAAGCATGGTATGAATGTGACAATTTGTGACCAAATTTCTGCTTTTGTTTGTACCACTTTAATGGCCTTTATATGAGATATTTGTTGTGCAAACTGTTTGATTGCTTTTTACCTACAGTTTGCTTCACAACTAATCATGCTACTATGTACAGAAATGGATTTATATAAGGCGTGGTAATCAGTGAGTACACAAAGTCGGGAAATGTTAGACAGAATGTGATACTACCCAGAAATCCTTATCATACAATACTCAAAAGAAGTTAGGGGCCACCTCATTCTTTGATACTGTACTTCTGGTTAGCTATAGTAATATGAAAGAATCGGGTAGTCCTTAACTTCTTTTGAGTGGTGTATGATATTTCAGATAGCTGTTCAACATACGTATAACTCAACTTTCGATACGGGTTGTGTTACTTGAAGTTCAGGCTGGAACTTATGGGATGGATTGCTTGGAGAAGTTGTCATGCAAACAGTATTCAATGTTGCCATTGAACTAAATCATTTGCAGCTTCATTTCAAGTTAAATGATCTCATTCTCAATCTAGATCAAAAGTTGAGTTGTATTTGTAATGACAGACTTCATGTAGAGTATAAAACAATGACTTGTTACAATTCATGCCAAAGCAGATTATGTTAATTTGCCATTGTATATAACTTTGTGGGATGAAAACTGTATACTGAGAGTGGGTGCTTCTCACCACTGAGGTGTTTTATAGTCTGTAGTCATGGCTTGTAGAGAAAGGTTTGTAATCTATAGCAATAACGGTGCTTGTCAGATGTGTAGGAAAACCTGTCTGTGTGATATGTATTGACCTGAAATACAGACACAGTTGTCAAATATTGTAAAGTAGATAGATTATTAAAACAACAATTAATATATTTAAATATCGGAGGAAGTCTGGGAAAGTATATGTAGAGGTATTAGTTTTGTTATGTTTAACACAACTGTTGATTTTAACCATTGTTGGAGTGGTATATGTGCAGTATTAGATTTTCAGTATACTCTTTGACATGGCCTTTGATAAGGGTGAGAAATTATTTTCATCGGACAAGAAATATATGTGCATAAAATGTTTTATTAAACCAATTCCAGACATTTCTGTTATAAAACGTTCAGAATTTTATCAAGACCTCGCCATTCCTTTTAGATAAGCCCTAAAAATGTGAAAGAAAATAGATATCCCTGTCTGTATTCTTATGACATGGTGGCCTCCACTGTGTGTAGGTGTAGTAGCAAGGGTTAGAAAACCAGCTCACCTTCAGCCTCAGGACCTTCAATCAAGAAGGATAACTCTCAACTAAGTGTCTCATCTACCCATATCAGAAAGAACTGATTCTCAGAGCTTCCACCACTGGTTTCCCTGCTCAATACTCTGTCTCATATTGGTGGTAACTTCTGTTAGGTTATGGAACAAAAATTATATTTTTTCTCACCTGAAGGTGCTTTTACTTAAGACCAGACTTTTACCACTGTAAATCTATTTTTAAAAATATTTGTCACCTTGAAAAAAAATACTTCACTTCTTAAATGACCCGTACAGTGAGACCCATTTTTAGAACTTTTCACAACACAAGTTGATACAACCGATTCCAATTCTACCTATGATTAACTATTGGTCTGACATTCAACCATGTTAGTCAGTGTAATGAGTTATATGTGTTGAATGCGGTTTCTAAATTTGATTTGTATATGCACATTTTAAACAGATCTTGTTGACATTCGGGAGAGAATACTGAATTGCATTTTTTAGCTTAGAAAGAATATGTCCTAGATTTTGTAGTACCTTGTCAATCTACATTTGAATTGAAGGGTGGAATATTATACTGACAATCAGGCTATAGGGACATCTGTCCCCAGGTGGATGTATACAAGACACTGTGCCAAATGTTCAGGCAAGATGGTGGACATGGTAGGTTGTCTTGGTACAAGTTCCCCTGGTGACGGATGTACGAGGGGGAGATAACTGTGTACTGGCATAACCAGTTGTGTAGCTCTTGGTACTGCTGCCGCTGCTGGGGCTTCTGCTGTTTATGTCCAATAAACTTATGAATCTGTTATTCAAACTTTGTGTTGTGTTTTTTTATCATTCAGGAAGGGCTAGGTAGCCCCATGGGTAAGGTGTTAGCTTGTTATGCCAAAGTTGATATCTCCCCAGGGATGAATCACTAGTAGGACAGCCGATTTTTATGCTTGTACCAGTAACAACTTCGGTTGACCACAATGGCTGCTGACCTGTTCTTGGGTTACAAACAGAAATGTCAAAGCCTCAGTTGTGATTTGGGTTTATTTGGGCCAGGATGATGCCATGGGGAAAAAATTGTCACTTTAGCCTACTCCTTTTGGTATAGACACTATGGCTGTTACGTGAATGTCTGGCCACTTCAGACCGCCTCCGTGGTCTAGTGGTAGAGCGTCCACCGGAGAGCGGAAGGTCCGGCGTTCAATCCCCGGCCACGTCATACCAAAAGACGTTAAAAGATGGCGCTTGGCATTAAGGGGCTAAAACAAGGACTGTCGGCTCGGAGTCAGTATACTGTGTCTGAGTGGGGTATCCATGTTAAACTGCGGCATGGTATCTCAGTGTGCTAGCACTATAGATCGGCATCAGTCCGGACTAGTACAAGCAGCCACACACACACGTGCATGCATGTCGCTATATAAGTGCAATAATCTTGGACGCGACGTTAAACCCCATTTCACCTCACCTCACCTCTGGTCACTACACTCTGTATACAGCTCTTCACCCAGCCTGAAGCTCAGGAACAGGCCAACAGTTCTTGATAGTTGTTCGTATGTCAGTGCACCTTTACCCAGTCCAGTTGACCATGAATACAGATTTACCGATCACCTCGGACGTGGGGTGACCAACAGCTGTAACACTGTACACTGCTGATGCTCTGTCAACTGCCTGGCCATCTTCAAATTGAGACTGAAATATTGCAAATGTTCATACAGTCACAATATTGTCACTGCTTACCTGGAATTGTACATCCACTGTAGAATTGGGTCAGTTAGTTACGGGGATCAGCTGGGTGTGAATCCCAAACTCGCCCAAAATATGACCCGATGTCTTCGAGCACCTATCAGTACAGGGCGATGGGGTAGTCTAGTGGTTAGAGTGTTCACTCGTCAAGCTGAAGACCGGGGTTCAATTCCCCACATTGGTTCAATGTGTGAAGCCCATTTGTGGTGTCCCCCGCTGTGATATTGCTGGAATATTGCTAAAAGCAATGTAAATACTCACTCACTCACTCACTATGCATTATTAATATGACTGTTACATACCATTGATTCTTTACTCTCTTGGAACAATAGGAGTTATATTCTCAACAGCCTTGAACCCATTTTCAGTCTAGGTTAAGACCTTATGATCAGTGCAATGAATGCGACATTCTACCTGTGTAATTATGTACCAATCTACTATTTAATGATAACCCTGTCTTACAATGTAAGCTCACAGAAGAAGAAAACATTGCCAGGACTGCCATTCGACCAAACCTGGTACCCGAGAACAGGTCTCAGTGTTTACAGTGAACTTGTGAGGACTGCCACTAGACCAAACCTTGTGCCCCAGAACAGATCTTGTGTATACGGTGACCTTGCAAGGTGACCTTGTGAGGACTGCCACCAGACCAAACCTTGTGCCCCAGAACCCGTCTCATTGTATACAGTGACCTTGCCAGGTCTGCCACTAGACCAAACCTTGTGCCCCAGAACAGATCTCGTGTATACGGTGACCTTGTGAGGACTGCCACCAGACCAAACCTTGTGCCCCAGAACCCGTCTCATTGTATACAGTGACCTTGCCAGGTCTGCCACTAGACCAAACCTTGTGCCCCAGAGCAGATCTTAGTGTATACGGTGACCTTGTCAGGTCTGCCACTAGACCAAACCTTGAGCACCAGAGCAGATCTTAGTGTACAGTGACCTTGCCAGGTGACCTTGTGAGGACTGCCACTAGACCAAACCCTATGCCCCAAAACAGATCTTAGTGTATACGGTGACCTTGTCTGGTCTGCCACTAGACCAAACCTTGTGCCCCAGAACAGATCTTAGTGTATACGGTGACCTTGTGCCCCAGAACCCGTCTCAGTGTATACGGTGACCTTGCCAGGTCTGCCACTAGACCAAATCTTGTGCCCCAGAACAGATCTTAGTGTATACGGTGACCTTGTCAGGTCTGCCACTAGACAAAACCTTGTGCCCCAGAACAGATCTTAGTGTATACGGTGACCGTGTCAGGTCTGCCACTAGACCAAACCTTGTGCCCCAGAACAGATCTTAGTGTATACGGTGACCGTGTCAGGTCTGCCACTAGACCAAACCTTGTGCCCCAGAACAGATCTTAGTGTATACGGTGACCTTGCCAGGTGACCGTGTCAGGTCTGCCACTAGACCAAACCTTGTGCCACAGAACAGATCTTAGTGTATACGCTGAACTTGTCAGGACTGCCACAAGACAAAACCCGTGCCTCCACCACAGGTGAAACCCCACAATCCTCAACTAGTCTCGACAGTTTTGTTTTTCAGGTGGAATTGAGCTCATGAATGTCCTCATCATTGAGAGAATTTTATCTGCCACAATAATCAACTAATTATATAGCCTGGCACATGGCATTTATTACACAAGCAGCGCTTGGGTCACTGTGACCTTCCCACAGACCTATATCTGCATTTTATATTACATGAATTGACAGGATGGCAACATTTTGTGTCCTTGGAACCGAACAATTTATTGAATGATATTTCCATCGTTATTAAATACGTCCGACCTGACCGCACTGCAATGCATTGATTGTGCCGTTGTCGTCTGCTGCCCCAAATCACATGTCGTTGACCTTGTGTTTTCTTCGGGCCAAAGTCGTCCATTATACCAGCATTTGGTTAATTGAACTATGTGATTGGAGCTTCCGTTGTCGATCCGAGAAATCATTTAATCATTATTCAAAGACCTGTAAATCAATGGCGCCTTGGCCATGGCAACTGAATGAGGGGATCGTGGAAAGCTTCACGGGTCTGCATGAGAAATGAAGTGGCGGAAATAGAGGGGATTGATAAATGTCGCTTGCAGATTTGTAGAATGGCTGTCGTGAGAGGAATTCCATCTTCTTTCTCCGCCTCATCAGCTCCCTTTCGGCAGACGACGTTAACCTTTATGTGTGCAGACGACAGTTTTGAAGGATCCGTGAAAAATTAAATTGGATTTGGATGTCAAGGTGGTTGCAGTCAATTCAATCGAAAACACGTCAAATGAAATTGCTTGATGTCAAGTCTGGTGAAATCATTCCTTGGTTCTATTAACTGTCTACATTTTTATCCTCATACTAATTGAAACCTATTATCATGAGATATGTTTTGAACAAAATGGTACCAGTACAAGCAATCACGCATACCTGCATGCATGTCGCTTTGCGAGTGAAATAATCTTGAACGCGACGTAAACCCATATCCCCTCACCTCACCACCCATATGCGTTCGGATAGTTTATAAATGATATGTTCTTGATTGCAGCATGCCTGAGTATGGTTTTTTCCCGCTTTTTAACAATTCTCCCGCAATATCACGGCGGGGTTCACCATGAAAGGGCTTCACACATTGTATATACCAATGTGGGAATAGATCCTACAACTTTGGCTTGACCAACTTTTAGCCACGAGGCTGCCCCCGACTGCAGAATGGACCGCCCCCGTGGTCTAGTGGTAGAGCGTTCGCCCGGAGAGCGGAAGGTCCGGAGTTCGATCCCCGACCGCGTCATACCAAAAGACGTTAAAACATGGTACCTGTTGTTACCCTGTCTGGCGCTCGGCGCTATATAAGTGCAGTGATCTTGGACGCGACGTAAAACCCCATTTCACCTCACCGACTGCAGAATGACTGGGAGCAGTTCAGTAATCCTGTCTAACATTACTGTGCCAATAGCTACTATGATCATGTTCTTCAGGGCACAAGGATTGCGTCGTACAGGGAATATTGATCAATATGTGAAGACCCATAGTGTATATTATCTTGAGCATTATATGTCATCAATAAATATGATCACATTTAATTTTGCCTTTGATTATATACATTTGGGTTTATTTATTCATCTATTCGTAAGGAAACGTGAACATGATCTTATAAGTTAGTCCTCCGGCCCATATACACGGGTGAGGGTCATGTAACACGAGTATACACTGAACGACGCATATCATACGATTCCCTATTCCTGACCGACATAGCATGAAATATGTACATGGCACGGTTATAATGAGTTTATACATCCTGGGAAGTGAGTAGCCACACATTGAGCAGGTGTTCACCCGGGATAAACGTTTGTCGGCATTATGGCTAAAGAAAGTATACGCCCGTGTTTGAGGGTGGCTAAAGAAAGTATACACCCGTGTTTGATGGTGGCTAAAGAAAGTATACACCCGTGTTTGATGGTGGCTAAAGAAAGTATACACCCGTGTTTGATGGTGGCTAAAGAAAGTATACACCCGTGTTTGATGGTGGCTAAAGAAAGTATACACCCATGTTTGATGGTGACTAAAGAAAGTATACACCCGTGTTTGATGGTGGCTAAAGAAAGTATACACCCTTGTTTGATGGTGGCTAAAGAAAGTATACACCCGTGTTTGATGGTGGCTAATGAAAGTATACACCCGTGTTTGATGGTGGCTAAAGAAAGTATACACCCATGTTTGATGGTGGCTAAAGAAAGTATACACCCATGTTTGGTGGTGGCTGAAGAAATTTCACATCCATGTTTGATGGTGACTAAAGAAAGTTCACATCCATGTTTGATGGTGGCTAAAGAAAGTATACACCCGTGTTTGATAGTGGCTAAAGAAAGTATACACCCATGTTTGATAGTGGCTAAAGAAAGTATACACCCATGTTTGAGGGTGGCTAAAGAAAGTATACACCCGTGTTTGATGGTGGCTAAAGAAAGTATACACCCGTGTTTGATGGTGGCTAAAGAAAGTATACACCCGTGTTTGATGGTGGCTAAAGAAAGTATACACCCATGTTTGATGGTGGCTAAAGAAAGTATACACCCGTGTTTGATGGTGGCTAAAGAAAG